CCCTAAACCCCAAACCCCAGAAGAAGTCTCGAAAGCCAGAGCTCTTTTTGGGGAGCTTGGCTTCCCCCAGCTGCACCTCGGGGGCCCAGGGTTGTTGGGCTTTCGCATGTCGGATTCAATTAGACTAAGTACTAGTCATGTGGGGTTTCGGTAGCATAACCACAAGCGAACCCTGAAATAGCCCTATTCCGTTAATATGTGCAATAATAATAATAACATAAAAAACAAGCAACAAAACACGAAGAGGCTACCGAGAAATTCGCCGGCTTCAGTCAGAAGTGTCCAAACTAGCTTTAACCCAGGGGGGGAGCTGGGACCTAAGCAGCAGGATCCCAAGGCTTACATAGGTGGATCTGTTCGGAATCCTCCTGTTTTTAAGTATCTCAAACACCCCCAAACCCAAAACCAAAACCTCTGCACCCTAGACTCTACACCCTTAACTCTAAACCCCAAATGTCGGATCTTTGTGAACTCCGATTCTGAGGACTGCGCGGCCGCCTTGGCTCTGAACTCCGACCTCGGGAAGGCGCGTTTGGTTTAGGGGTTTTTAGGGGTGTAGGAGTTTGGGGGTTTAGGGTTTTTATGGTGTAGGGGTTTGGGGGTCGAGGGTTTCGGGGTGCAAAGGTTTGGGGGTGTTGGGGTTTCGGGGTTTGGGGGTTTGGGGTACCGGTTCAGTGGTATCGGGTTTTGTGGGTTCAGGGCTGTAAGGTTTGGGGTTTAGGCGGTTTAGGGTGTACTAACATTTAGGGTTCCAAGCTTCGGGCTTAAGGTTTAGGAGATGTTGGCACGCATCGAGGTCCTGCCCACAAGACCCGTGAAGGCCTATCCCCTGAATCCCTAAACCCCTGATTCCCTAAACCACTGAAGCTCTAATCCCTGAATCCCGATACTATAGGGCTCTGAAGGCCTATCTGCGAAGTCCTTTTTGCAAAATAATCCGGCGAAACCCTTCTGAACCCCTAAGCCCCCTGAGCCCTAAACCCTGTACCCTGAAAGGTTTAGGGTTTAGGGGTTTAAGTAAACACCAGAGCCCCTCAAGAAGTCCTAAACCCTAAACCCTAAACCCTGAACCCTAGATCCCCGAAGGCCTACCGCATCCGCGGCATCGCCCTTCGAAAGCTGGGTCGCTATCGCGAGGCGAAGAGTGACCTGGACCAGGCCACAGCAGGAAGACAACGAGTCCCTTCCGAAAGGTTGCTAGGTTTGTTTAGGGCTTTAGGGTGTATGGGTCCGTCGCGGTTTGTAAATGTATTCTTTTAATGAAGTGCGTTGGGTTCTCAAATTTCAGGTTTGGTACTTCTTGATTGTTTTTGGGCTTCTGGTTGTGGCTTAGGCTTCTCATAGCATTTGGATGGGGCTTAGTGTCGGGCTTAGGGCGCTATGGGTTTGTCATTCGGGCAGGTGTCGGGCTCATGTACTAGGGTTCGGTTTCCGGAATGGCCAAGGGTGCAGTCATGACGACGAAACCAATAGTAGTAAGGCAAGGATTGCTGAATGCATGTTGTAGTGATGCCGAATGTACATAATACTGAAGGCTTCTGGTAACTTGAAGCATGGAGAACAGGTAGCGAGGGCCCTTGGAACTTTAGCAACCCTACAGCCTAAACCCTAAACCCTAAACCCTAAACCCTAAACCCTAAAACCCTAAACCCTAAACCCTAACGCCTACACCCTGAACGATCAGCAGGCAAAGCTCAACCCTGGTTCGGAAGTCTTCGACTGAGCCCAGCCAGATTGAAAACCGAACCTGAGCAACGGGTCTAGGGTTTAGCCCGGCATTCTCTGAGCCCTAAACAACTAAAACCCTGAAGGCAGCCTTAAGTCTTGAAGCTGAACATTAAGCCTGCAAGCTATAAGACCCGAAATGTAGCAACACCCTACACCCTACAGACCAACCTGCCATGGCCCCCGGCCNNCCCCCCCCCCCCCCCCCCACAATTTACAAAACAGGCGCAGAAGCTGGACTTTGACGAAGGTGTGAGCATTATTGAAAAGTTTGTCACCGAGAAGGCTGGCGGGATGGCCCAGCTTCGAGAGTTTAAGGGCGTAGTTTTTTCTGACTCAGGGCTTCAGGCTTGGAGATGTTACTTCGAGGGCATCATCATCATCATCATCATCATCGTCATCATCGTCATCATCATCGTCATCATCATCATCATCATCATCATCATCATCATCATGCATTGTTGTCGCAAGACGTATAGTCGTGTTTGTCAGACTAGGGGCGGCAGGTTCCCCAGCATCCACTAGTCATTGGCTCGTACATGACTAAGCATTAGCAACATCCAGGATGATCAGCATCAGTAGCACATGACAACAGTAAACCCAGCACGCACGTCGCTACCCGAGTGTCACCACCCTCCTCGTCACCCCTGACAAGGTGCGTCTTGAGGAAAAGCGAGGCGCCCGGAAAAGGCAACTGGTTTCGGGTTCATGTGAGCAGGCTGAGAGTTCACATATTACCGGTCTAGGGTTATCAGGTTTGGGAGGAGCACTGTGTGCGTTTTATTTTTTATGTGGCTTCAGATTCAGCCCGTGACACCTCCAGCAGGCGGCGGCTTCAGTGAGAGCCTTGTGCTGCAGCCTTGTCAGAGCCCTTAGATCACAAGATGTGGGACTGCAGCTTGTCTGCCAAAGTTTTGCAGTTGAGTTTCTCAGATGACAGGAGTCGATATTTCTTGTCCTTCTCATTACTTGCTAATCTTGGCTGAATTGGGGTTAAACCACGGAGCAACCTTCGTGAACAAGGTTTCTTGAGATGTTATGCAGGCCTTGCTTGTGCAAGGACTTCAAGATTTCAGCAACCCCTTTCAGACGGGATCGCAGCAGTCGCAGCTTCGGCACTACGCATTCCTGGGATGATCGAGACGACACTTACTGTACACGCCGCAGGTGCAGGTAGCAGAACTCTCACGACAGCTTAGTGCTTGTCCACCCTAAAGCCTGTTGGTGTTCGGTTTTATCGTTGTGCGTCATTCTGCATACGTCACGGCCATGTCGCAAATTGCATCTGCTCCAAGCCCACAGCCTGTTGGGGCTTTGGCCAGTTTCGCGTTCCCTCAAAACACGCCGAGGGCTTCTTACCAGGCCCTCCAGAGGTGTTTCCGGGCTTTTCAATTTCAGGTCTCTTGGCACCAGGAGCATGGTTCGAACCCTAAACCCTAAACCCTAAACCCTAATTAAGAACGACCTTCTTGAGCCCTAAGCTGGTTTAACTCCACATCCCAACAGCTTGAGCCCGCCTTTCGGCGGAGCATGCTGCAAGCTTGAGAAATTCGGCCTTTGGGGCCTTAGGAGCGTTTTTTCCCACTACTCCCTGAACCCAACCCTGGGCCTGCGCATTCCTGAACCCTCAACTCCAAGTCCAGAAATCGTAAACACCACGTCCCTAAAGCAAGTGGTGTTCCCTTATTCGTCACACACCATCAACATGGAGCCAGAGACCCGGAAGAGACCAACAGCGTGTTCTTACGTCCAAGAGTCCCATATCCAAGCCCTCCTAGGCTTTAGAGGTGAGTTTGATATGAAGGGGCTCCACTTTCGGGGTTTACGTAGGGTTGGAGGTTTGGGACTTGAGCTATTTCCCCGACTGAGCAGCGTGGACCCACACGGAGCTGTGATGTCCTGCGGTTTCAAAATGGACCCGTCGAAGCTTGTCGACAATCGTCGGAGTTGGCCGTCGAGGGTATTGGGTTCGGGCCGTTTGGGGTTCATAGGCATCCGTTCCCGTTCTCTTTACTTCAGTTTAGGTTCAGGGTTTGAGGTGCTTGATGGCTTTGGCAGGTGCTGGTGTTGAAGAGCTGAGGGGTGGGGTCAGGGTTCGCAGATTGTGGCTTTGGGGTCTAGGGGCTTGCTTAGGCTGTGGGCTTCAGGACGTAAGGATTTCGAGGTTCGCAGTTCAAAGGGACTGTCCAGATTTGCTTTTTGAAGGCGACAAGATATGGCTTCTGGTTCCCCTCACGGCTTTGAGGTGACAAACATCCCATCCCCCAAATCCTGCATGTAGCTTGTGGCTTCCACAAGCACCCTTGTCGAGTAGAGAAGGATCGCATACAAATTGGGAAGCCCCTAAACTTAGGGTTATGGCCAACGTACGCCTTGCCCATGAAACAGGTACCTTACTTTGGGGTCCTTATCATAAGGATCCTACTATTTAAGGTACTATATTAGGGTCCCCTAGTTTCGGAAACCCCCAATTCGGGAACTGGATCCTTCACTTCCCACGCCTCTTCTCGGATGGCAGTCTCTGAGTGACGACGGCGACGTGGGCTACGGGGCTGAGTTGCCAATGACCCGACCCACAGGCGCCACCCGGGCAAGCCTTCCAGGACTCTTGTTCCTTGTGACGTGCGTGTGCGTGTGCGTGTGCGTGTGTGTGTGTGTCAGGTTTTTTTGCGACGTTTTGTGTAGATAGACTTGGAAGGCTGAAGGTTTGAGGGGTTCAGGATTCAAGGGTTTAGGTTGCTTGGGCCTGAAGGTTTTTGGATTTGAGGGTCTAGGGTTTTAGGGCTTCAGCGCTGTAGGGCGTGAGGCTCATGGGTTCGGAGTTCAGCCAGTGCTTTGTGTAGTGCAGCAGGGCAGGGTTTAGCAAGGTTCGGTTTGGTTATGTAGGACCTTCCGGATTTGTCTGCCAGAATCTGGTGATGCTTGATTGCATGATGTCCTGAGTAAAATCTAGATGTGTAGATCGGTTTGAAGTAGTTGTCAGTTGAGAGCAACTGAACCTGGCTTTCCAAGCACCCGGGCACCGGCTTAGGCATCGGCTCGGCAATCGTACAGCAACGGCGACTTGCAACAGCAGCAGCAGCAGCAGCAGCAGCAGCAGCAGCAGCAGCAGCAGCAGCAGCAGCAGCAGCAGCAACAGCAGCTTGCAACAGCAGCGGCAGCAACAACAAAACAGCACTGGCAACCTCAGCTTTGACAACAACATCACAGCATTGGTCCCGTCCAGGCTACACCCCTGCGCCATCGCCCTTTGTGGTGCGTGAGCAGGCGGCCGTTGAATGATGTTCCAACACGCGTTCCTCCCTGTTCTCACAGGTGGATTGCGGTTTCGTTCATCTTCAGGACATAGGTTCACGGATCAAGGTTCCCCACACTCTGTGTTGTCGAAAGCAACAAAATAACCAAGGCGACATCGACAATCCGGATACAGAGGTTGACCACGCCCGCGCTATCCCGCGCTATGAGCATCTATAAGCAAGACCCCTAAACCCTATACCCTAAACCCTATAAGCATGACCTTATCCGGGTTGCCTGCTGATGAAGGTCTCCGGCCCTTGAATCACGAAGTTGCTTGCCTCTGGAAATGGTCAAGATTGAATCATCCCAAAACTAAACCTTCAGCTTTCGACCCTTAACCTGAGCTCTAAATCCTAAGCCCTGCTTATCTTAACACTATAAACTTGAATTCCTGTGCCCTCGCTGTGCTTTTTGCTAAGCCCTATAAACACGAACTACACCCTAAACCCTCCACCCTAAGCCATGAAGGCAAGCACAGGCAGAAATCCCATGCATCTTCGGGGCAGATTGCGGCTCAAGCGAACACGGCTTTAGGGTTCCTTAAAGTTTAGGGTTTTAGGCTTCCTTAGGGTTCCTTAAAGTTTGGGGTTTTAGGGTTCCTTAGGGTTCCTTAATCTTGATATCTTTCTTTTCCTTCAAGGTGGTCTTAGAAGGTTTTTAGGCGGTTTTCAGATCCTTCTTCTACATAAGAGGGTCTTGTATGTGTTTAGAGGGTCTCGTAAGGAGTGAGGGTTTTTAAGTTGCGGGTCGAAGGTTTGGGGGTTTAGGGAAAGGGCTTCACGTTTCGGGCTCGAGGGCTTTGGTAGGGCTTGAGGGTTAGGGTTTCGAGTTTAGGGCTTGAAGACCCAGAAAGCGCACACCAGAGCCAAAACCCCGGCTGCCTGCAGAGCCATGGAGGACTGCTCATTGCAATTTGGGCTTAATATAGGGGTTTAGGGTTTAG